TGTCTGAGCCCAGGAGTTCAAGACCAGCCTGGGCAACTTGGCGAGACTTCATCTCTACAATTAAAAAAAAAAAAAATTATCTGGCATGGTGGCATACACCTGTAGTCCCAACTACTTGGAAGGCTGACGCAGAAGGATAGCCTGAGCCCAGGTGGTCAAGGCTTTAGTAGCTGTGAGCATGCCACTGCATGCCTACCCAACCCCGTGCCACACACATCAGAAAGCAGCATGCTTACACCACCACCAGCTTCTCTTCTGCCCCTGTCCTCTTACTTGGGTTTATTCTGTGTACATCTTGTGCTGCATTGTACCTCCCATATCTGTTTTGATCTGAGGTTAGATGTACTCAGTGCTCACTGACAACCTCTTGGCAGTGGTTTCTTCATTCATTTCCGATTATGCGGAAATTCATCCTCTAGCCATTTTTATTTTTTAAACAAAAGACTTTTATCAATCAACAAATTTTAAATCAAAATCTGCATGTGGCTATTATATGATTCCATTTATATGGAGTGTCCAAAGTAGGTAAATTCATAGAGACAGAAAGTAGGTCAGGGTTGCCCGGACCGGGTGGGGGATGGAAATGGGGCAGCTGCTGAGGGTGAGAGAGGTTTCCTTCTGAGATGATGAAAGTGCTTGTTCTGGAATTAGACTGAGGCAGTGGGGGCACACCTTTGCGAATGTACTAAAATCACTGAGTTGTATACTTTAAGAGGGTGAATTATATGGTATGTTAATTGTATCTCAATAAAAAATGCCTGTATGTGTTAATAGAATCAAACAGCTCCGTGAGATTTTACTTATAAAGGACAACCACACCTCTGTTCCCACCTCTGCATTCTCCCCTCCCCAGAAGGAACAGCAGTTAGCTTTTGGTGTATTCATTTGGAAGTTACCTTCCTGTCCAGGGGATGTGCAGGTATTTCCTTTTGAATGCATGAATCAAAAGGCAGATAGTATCTGGTTGTTCACTCTTGGTGATATTGAGATTGAGCATGTGTTTGGGTATTAGCCAGTCTAAACCATCCATTATAAAGCTCCCTAGCAGCCTTTTGTCTGATGATTTTAACAGTAATTGATGATCATTGCCCAGAGGTTGTAAAGGGTTAGGGAGTCTTGTCATTGTTTATGCATTCATTAGCTGTAATTCTTCTGAAAGAAGAACTTTGTTTCATCAGCTGTTGGCTTACCTTGTTATAGTTCATATAGTAAAGACAAGATAAATGTTTCATTCTTTCCCTCCTGTTCTTTTTAACCAGTTTTTAGAATAATGATTTGGTACTCCAGCAACTTCTAAAGTTGATGAATCAGGGTCAATGTTGTGTTATTTTTAATATCACTATGAAAACATGTATTTTTAAAATTTGGTGTTTTTTTTAAAAAAATCCATTTAAATCATTACTCTTTGTGATCTGACACTTTTTCTTTTTGAGTGGGAATGTTACTCTGTCACCTACGTTGGAGTGGAGTGTAGTGGCATGATTACAGCTCACTGCAGCCTCGACCTACTGTGCTCAGATGATCCTCCTGCCTCAGCCTCCCTAGTAGCTGGGACTACAGGTGTGTGCCACCACGCCTGGCTACTTTTTTTTTTTTTGAGTCAGAATCTCACTCTGTTGCCTAGGCTGGAGTGCAGTAGCACAGTCATGGCCACCGCAGTCTCAACCTGCTGGGCTTAGGTGATCCATCTGCCTCAGCTTTCCAAGTAGCTGGGATCATAAGGCACATGCCACTACGCCCAGCTCCTTTTTTATTTATTGTAGAGACAAGGTCTTGCCATGTTGCCCAGGCTGGTCTTGAACTCCTGGACTCAGGCAGTCCTCTTGCCTCAGCTTCCCAAAGTGTTGGGATTACAGGCATGAGCCACTGGACCCAACCCTAATTTTTTTATCTTTTTGTAGAGACGGGGTTTGGCTGTATTACCCCAGGCTAGTCCTGAACTCCTGGGCTCAAGCAATCCTTTAGCCTCAGCCTCCCAAAAGTGCTGGGAATCTGGGTGTGAGCCATTGCGCCTGGCATGATACAACACTTTTAAAATTTGATTTAATTTTTACAATGCGATGGGAGTTATATGTAGAGTTACCATATAATTTTAATCCAAGCCTGGTTGCTTTCTGAGAGTGAAAGGGAAGGGGACACTGCTCAGATGGAACTCCAGGGTGGCAGATGACAACTGGGACTGTCTTGGGCAACCAGGGATTGTGGTTATCCTGGTGATATGTGAGTTGTTAGGGGAAAATTAACTTTTTTCCCACATTTTAAGTTTTACCAAGATACAATAATTTACATGCAATGCATTACACATATTTAAAATGTATCATCTGATGCATTTTGACATATGCATCTGCCTGTGAACCCACCAGAGCCAAGGTAATGAACATGTCTGTTATTCCTAGAAGTCTCCTCCTGCCCCGTTATCCGAGATCCCTCCACCTCCAGGGTCCCCAGGTCATTACTGATCCGCTGTCTGTCACCACAGATTACTTTGCATTTTCTAGACATTTATGTGAATAGAACAGACAGTACGTACTATTTTTTTTAAGAGCAGTGCATTAATTTACTTAGCACAATTTTTCATTGTTGTTGTAGAGACAGGATCTCGCTGTTACCCAGGCTGGTCTCAGACTCCTGGCTTCAAGTGATCTTCCCAACTTGGCCTCCCAAAATGCTGGGATGACTGACAGGTGTGAGCCTCCAAGCCTGGACAGCATACATATTTTTTTATATTCATCCATGTTGATATGTTTGTCAACAAGTTTATTTCTGTATTCCCGAGTAATATTCCTCTGTGTAGATGTATCTTATCATTCGCCTGCTTGTAGACATGTAGGTTTCCTCCTCTAGTCATTACCTCTTATGTTTAAAATGGCTATGAATTTTTATGTCTGTGTCTTTGTAGGGACTTGTACTCTTATTTCTCTTGGGTAAATACCCTGGAGTAGAATGACTAAATCATATGGTGGATTTATCTTTCACTTTTTACAAAACTGCCAAGCTTTCCCAAAGTGGCTGCACCCATTTACATTCCCATCAGCAATGTGTGAGGATTCTGATTTTTCCCTACCTTCTGCAGCACCTATTGTTATCTGTCTTTGCGATTTTAATTTGTATTTATGATGTTGAGTATCTTTTCCTGTACCTACTGTCCATTTGTGTATTGTCTTTGGAGAAATGTCTATTCAATTCCTTTTTTATTTTTTAATTGAGCTGATTTTATTGTTGAGTTGTAAGAATTCCTTATCCCTTATGGATACAGTTCCTTGGCCTGATATATAACTTGCTAATATTTTCTCCCATCCTTGGGTTGTCTTTTCACTTTCTTGATGGTGTCCTTTGCTGAGGACTTGAGAGGACTCATCAGCAAGTTGTGGGGCACATCCTGTCCCCCCACCCCGTGAACAGCTTTCTGCTTTCCTGGACTCCATGCATACTGTTCAGGACTCTTGTCCTAAATTCTAGCTGGCTAGCTTCCCCAAATTCTCAGCTTCGTCTCATCACCTCCTCGAGCTCTGCTTCTCCATCCCTGTACTGCCTGCTTTCCATAGACTGGAAGCCAGGCCACTGCACAACCCACCTCATCTGGTCATATCTGTCCCTCCAGGCTCATTGTTCTGGGCTGCCAGTAGTCCAACTTCTTCAAACTGTTGTTTCATACATTTCATGTGTGTAAAATTTTTCATGAGGGCCAGCATGGTAAATCTGGTCTGTGTGACTCTATCATGGCTGGATGTGGAGGTCTTCAACACTTAACCCTAGTGATGAAAGGTAATGGTGAGTTCCTTTGTTGTGCTCCTGGAGATCATCTGGTAGTTCTTCCATTGGCATTTCCTGTTTTAGGGCCCTTTTCTCCACAAACGTTCTTGCTTTGAAATACTCAGAAGTTTCTTCTAATATCCCTCTGTCTCCTTTTTCTTTCTAGTTATAGATAAAGCTGTCCAAAGAACAGTTATCATAGAAATAGTAACATTTAAAGACTGGCATGATAGCTTGTTTCTTGCTACGGCCATTCATAATATCTATTTGTCGCTGCCTTGGATGCTTTGAAGTGAAACTGTGCTTAGATATAGAAAGTTTTAATACTTTGATACCATGTTAAGTGCACGGTTTTTACACTGCTGTTCCTGAATGTAGTTCCTCTGAAACTGTATGATTCTTCTTAAACTATGGGAATCCATTAGTGTACTGTTTAACATGCTTAGTTGTAGACATTTCTGACTCTCTGTGGGCCTCCATAATCTTATTTCCTTTTCTTTTGTTTTCTTGCTCTGATTTCATAGCTGGTATCAACATATATAGAATCAGCAGTTTCTAAAACATACTGGATGATTATTTTCTCTCTTTAGTAGCCTTTAATAATATGAAAAAAGAAAAATGGTGACTTTGAAATCAGATATGAGGGTTACTTGAAAGAGATCAAATGGCATCTCCAATGTAGTTTTTTGTAAGGCCTTGAATGTTGCCTTGCTGTTTGGTGGTGAGCTTATAACTGCCTCCACCAGCACTGCTAAGGACAGAGGAGCTTTGTAAGAACAACTTTTCTTTTAGGAGGTAATTTTCCTTGTTAAGTATGCCATAAGAACTTGAAGAATGATCTTAATTTCTCATTTTAAAATGACTGTCAAGTGAGCCAGACTGTTTAACACTTAAAAGTTAGAATACACAGATTTGTCAATAAATTCAAACTTGATAGTAGTTGTCATTACCACTAAGTTGTTTGAGTAATATATAATATTTACATTTTAAATGGATATTGATCTTCATTCAGTGACTAAATTGGAGTATCTCAATCCTTTTGAAATTGCTGATTCTTCTCCACTTCGTAGGTATGCAGCAAGACATAAATTCTAGCCAACATTCCACAGATTTTTCTTACCTTGCTTCTTTACACAGTGATCTATAGGAAGTAAGAAAACTTTTTGGTTACTAAAAATAGCAAAACACATTGTCTTTAAATCAGCAAACTTAAAATATGTTCCTTTGTGTTTTATTGTGTCTTGAAGGTACTTGAAGTTTATTGAGTTGCCTTTGACTCAGAGAAAGTTTTGTCAACGGTGTCAGCAGTTGCTATTACCCGAAGACTGGGGGAGTCATGGTGATCATCAGGTCATGGGTAATATTTCTGTCACCCAGTTGAGAAGGCCCAGTCGACTCCTTTATCCACTGGAAAATAAGAAGACAAATGCCCAGTATCTGTTTGCTGACAGGACCTGTCAGTTCTTGGTAGACCTACTTTCCACCCTTGGATTCAGAAGAGTACTGTGTGTAGGAACACCGAGGTATGTTATATGATTTAAAAAAAAAAAATACTCTTATCACCATTCCTGAAACAGTTAAGAAGATTTATTGAGTAGTTACTTACTGTGTGCAGGGTACAACATAGAGCTTTGAGTATTCAAAGGAGAGTAAGGCTTGGTTCCTTTCTTAAGGAGTTTGTAACCCATGTTTCATTTGAGAGAGACATCTTTATAGATTTCTTTCTGATATATGATAGGAGATTCTTTCTGATTTGACTCCTAAATTGTTTGTAATTTTAGACTTCTCTGTTTCAGATAAGTTCTGCTCTTTAAAAAATATTTGTACAACTGAAACTTTGGTTATATCTGCCAAATGCTCTTCAGCGTGTCACTGACATATCAGAAATATTAGAAAAACATTGATAGGTTTGTTTTTTGTTTGCTTGTTGTCTGTGACATTTGTAATTTCTTATTAAATTTGCTTTCACTAATTGCTTTAGGTTGCATGAGCTGATCAGGCTGACAGCATCAGGTGACAAGAAGTCTGGCATTAAAAGCCTTTTATTGGATATTGATTCTCGGTAGGTTTACAAAATATGTACTTATTTCCCTTCATTGTCTCCTGTTTCTTTTAAATGTTTTTCTCCTTTAAAAAAAAATGGCATCTCACTCTTTATCGCCCAGGTTGGAGTGCAGTGGACCGCAGCCTCGACCTGCTGGACTCAGGCGATCCTTCTGCCTCAGCATTCCAAGTAGCTGGAACTACAGATGCATACCACCACACGCAGCTAGTTTTTGTGATTCATTGTAGAGACAAGATCTCACCAAGTTACCCAGGCTCGTCTTTAACCCCCAGGCTCAGGCAGTCCTCTCACCTCAGCCTCCCAAAGTGCTGGGATTACAGGCTGAGCCACTGTGCCCTACCCATTTTTCTCTCTTTTTTTTTTGTTGATAATCTTTTACAACTCTTTTTTTTTTTTTTTTTTTTGAGTTGGAGTCTCACTCCGTCGCCCAGACTGGAGTGCAGTGGCCACTCCAGGCCATCGCAGCCTCAACCTGCTGGGCTCCAGCGATCCTTCCACCTCAGCCTTCCAAGTAGCCAGAATTACAGGCATGCGCTACCAAGCCCGGCTGATTTTTTGATTTATTGTAGAGATGAGGTCTCGCTGCCCAGGCGGGTCTCAAACCCACAGGCTCAGGCAATCCACTCACCTCAGCCTCCCAAAGGCCCGGGATTACAGGCTGAGCCACCGAGCCCGGCTACAGCTCTTTAACATGTATTAATAACTGATTGTGAGGCACTTTTTTAGTCCTCTAAATTCAACATGTAACCTTTTGTATTTCAGTTAAGCCATCAATTGCTTTTTTTCTAGTGTGCTTCCTAGGTTTTCTCAATGAATGTGTCTAGTCTTTGGCTTTTAACTTAGAGATGAATTCCTACTGAGTAAAGTTTCTTCTCATATATTATGTTCAGATATGATTCTGAACTGCCTCATACTTAATCAGATTTCCAGGATTTTGTTCCATCATCAGATCTTTGAAGTGTGATAAGACATCTCTTAATATATTTTACTGTATGGTGTGCAGATTGTCTTTGTCTAGATATAGCCTGAAGTGAAGGCAGTGCTAACTAGGAATAGACAGGCCCCAAGACAGAGGAATAGTCAGCAGTTAGGCTCTGTGGGAGAGGAGAAGAATTAAATGGCGTCTGATGTGTTGGGACAAATGGGATGAGAAAGAGTGGGAATACACCTTGGATCCCCCCTCTGATGTAATTCAGAAGATAGAGACCTCTGATTTATAACACAGATGGTAAATACATCCATCTGTTGTCTCTGTAATTCTGTAGTCTCAAAGTGCTCTTCCTAGTTTCTATAATTGTTTGAATTCTAGGAGTTCACGAATTTATAAGACACTGTGTTCTCAGTATCTTTTACATGTTCTCTCGTGTATTGAAGGAATCAGACTTTTTGACTATTGTTATTTAGACTTGACAGAGTCAAGTATTTCAGTATTTGTTGGAGAGAATCTATGAAACTAAATATGCTTTCTCTCCCTAAAAACAAGGCAGGCAGATTTTTAAAGTATAAAATAATCACATTTAAAAGTATAGTCTTATATTTTATTTTTCTTTAAATTTCCATGTCAACTTTAGGTTGTCTAACATAAGCAGCTACATTACTTGGAAATTACCACACTTTCTCATTCCTAGGGCTAGCACAGCTTACTAACTTCTACTTGACATGAGTGATCCTTGGCAAAAGGATAATACAGACTTCTTAAAGAAAGTCCTAGTTCATAAGTGGCCAAGCCAGAATTCAAGCCCAGGCAGTCTGGCTCTAAAAACTAAGTTATCCTTTGGAGAGAACTTTGCTTTGGAACTTGTATATTGGTCCATCTTAAATGGTCCCTTTGTCTCTTGTCATCCTTCTCTCTATCCCTTTCTCCCTGTATCCCCCTGCCTTGTTCCCCAAGGGTTTTCAGATGAATTAATAACTGGTTTCTAGGTTATTTATACATTTAGAATAAGACACTCATGTCAGTTAGGAATCTTTCACTGGAGTCCCAGGAATTCATTCCCATAAAAGAAGATTTATTGGTTCCTATTACTGGGGTCTAGGATACAGCAGGCATTAGTCCAGTTGAGATGGTGGGCCCCACATGATGTTGTTAGACTCTGTCTTTTTCTGTGTATTGGCTTTGTTCTACAGACAGCTTCCTTCATACTGCCAGGGATGTTGGTGGCAGCAGCTTGAAGCTTATCTAGTCTCCACATACTGCCCAGTAGAAAGAGGCAGTCCTTCTGGAGAGCTCCAAAAGCAAAACTCCAGGGAATACTCTGATGAACTTGACTGGGTCACATGCCTGTTCCAGAACTGCAGAACTGTCACTGTGGCCTGGCAGATAGGGTACTCTGGTCACTTCCTGACCAACCACCTGGAGTAGAATCTCCACAGAAAACATCCCCACTCTTTTAGTGGGGATGTACGTTCTGTAGAGACAAGAAATCAGATATCCATAACTGAGTTATTCAAGACAGTATATACAGTTCTCAGCAACACTCAGATTTCTACCTTTGGCGTATTTACTTCAATGAAAATGGTAGAATGTTAATCTTTCTAATGATTTTTAAAAAATTTATATTATAAGTTATATGATGATTCTGATTTCATTAAAGAGAAGGTTTTTTTGGGGGGGGTTGTTTTTTCTGAGTCAGGGTCACACTCTGTTGTCCAGGCTGGAGTACAGTGGCATGATCACAGTTCCCCACATCTTCAGCCTCCTGGACTCAGGGGATGCTTCTGCCTCAACCTCCTGAGTATCTGGGACTACAGGTACGCGCCACCATGACTGGCTAATTTTTTTGATTTTTTTTTTAGAGATGAAGTCTTGCTATGTTGCATAGGCTGGTCTCTAACTCCTGGCTCAAGCAATCCTCTCGGCTCGACCTTTCAGAGTACTGGGATTATAGGCATGGGCCACTGAACCCGGCCAAGACAAGCTTTTTTCAAGCTAGTTGTAGTGAACAGATTTATAGAGAAAGAGACTAGGACAAATAGTGTGTCATTTCAGAGAACTTCCTCAAATTGCAAAGATTCTTGGCTTACTTTTTCTTTTTTAAGGAAAAATTATCTTTAATTCTGTCATAGAAACATTATGGATTTTGGCTTTTTACGCTTTTTGAATGCATATATACATTAAAAAAAAAAACTCATGTAGTCTTTTTTTTTCCACTTGCCATACTTCAGGCATATTTCTTCTTCTTTTTTTTTCTTGGAGTCTCACTCTGTCGCCCATACTGGAGTGCAGAGACACTCTCATGGTCACCTCAGCCTTGACCTGCTAGGCTAAGGTGATCCTTCTGCCTCAGCCTTCCAAGTAGCTGAAACCACAGATGCACACCACCATGCCTGGCTAATTTTTTGATTTATTGTAGAGACTAAGTCTCGTTAATTTGCCCAGCCTGGTCTCGAACCCCTGGGCTTAGGCAATCCTCTCGCCTTGGCCTCCCAAAGTGCTGGGATTACAGGCTTAGCCACTGTGCCTGGCCTATATTTCTTTTTTAAATTGATAAGAACAGATACTACACTTGATCTTAGCCAAAAGACTGAGAAGTGATATTTATTTATTTATTTTTAAAAATTGAGTTTCTATACATAAAGCATTGGTTTTCTGTGTATTCACAAGTTGTGTAACCATCATCACTATCTAATTCCAGAACATTTTTGTCGCCTTCAAAAGAAACACTTCTCATTTCTTGTACTCCGTATCTTTTGGCAGCCAGTCTACTTTCCATCTTTATGAATTTGCCTATTCTAGGTATTTTATGTAAGTGGACTCATACAATATGTGGCCTTTTCTGTCTGATTTCTTTCACTTAGCATAATGCTTTTAAGGTTCGTCCATATTGTAGCATGTATTAGTACTTCATGCCTTTTTATGGCTGAATAATATTCCATTGTGTGGTCAGATCATATTTTTAAACTCTGTATATCAGTTGATAAATATTTGAGTTGTTTCTGCTTTTTGGCTATTATGAATATTGCTGCTGTGAACGTTTGTGTTTAAGTTTTATGTTAAGATAGGTTTTCAGGTCTCTTGGGTACGTGTGAGTCTGCTGAGGCTGCCACAATAAGATACCTCAGACTAGGTGGCTTAAACAGCAGAATTCTCATAGTTCTGGAGGCTGTAAGTGCATGGTCAAGGTTTTAGCGGTTTGGTTTCTCTTGAGGCCTCTTGGCTTGCAGATGGTTGCCTTCTCACTGTCTCCTCACAAGATCTTTTCTCTGTGTGTACACATCCCTGCTGTCTTTTTGTGTCCAAGTTTCTCTGCTTATAAGGACACCAGTCACACTGGAAGAGGGCTCACATTCATGGTCTCATTTTAACTTAAAGGTTGTTTCCAAGTAGTCATATTCTGAAGTACTGGTGGCTAGGGCTTCAATGTAATGATTTTGGGGGAGACACAATTCAGCCCATAATAGCTATGCCTAGAAGTGGGACTGCTGGATCATAGAGTAACCTTATGTTTAACTTGGAACTGCTACACTATTTTCCAAGGTTCAATAGATGAGAACATCAGGAATGTGTGAGGGCTACAGTCTTCCCAGATCCTTGCCAATATTTACTGTTGTCTGTATTTTTGAAGTGCCATCTCGATGGTTATGTTTTGCATTCCACTGGTGGCTCATGCTGTTGAACATTTTTTCATGTGTTTATGGAGTATTTGTGTATCTTTTTGGAGAAATGTCTGTGCAGTCCTTTGCCCATTTTAAAATTGGTTATTTGCATTTTTGTTGTTGAATTGAGAGTTCTTAATATACTCTGGAGACTAGACCCAGGGTCTAGTATCAGGGTCTAGTCTCCAGAGTATATGATTTGCAGATATTTTCTCCCATTCTGTGAGTTGTCTTTTCACTTTAGATGAAGTTCAGTTTTTCTTTCTATTCTTTGTTAGCTTATTTTTAAGGTGTCATATCTAAGAAACTCTTGCCTAATCCAAGCTCATAAGTATTTATACCTATGTTTTCTTCTAAGAGTTTTATAATTTTTGCAATTACATTTTTGTCTTTTACTATTT